CAGTTCTTGGCCTATTTTAAGGCGATACTCCGCACCGGAGTTCACTTTCCGTACTGGTTCTGTTTGTTGTTCGTGATAATATCTTGCGTCCACACCTGAGAACTGCTACAGCTGGTCATGCTTCCATTTGGATCAAAGTCCTTGTAGCCTACGTGTATAACTGCAGACGGTTATCAGAGCGCTGAGTCCCGCTATCTATTCCCGGAACACCAAGAGGGCGTGTCGGCCTATCTGGAAGATATCGGTTACTCCATGCAAGGGCGAAGGAACCCTTTGCCCGCTCTTGTCACGTTCCGTTTTATTGTCTTATGTCGAACACCAGCACGAATAAAGTTTGGTTCTATGAAGTACTTCGTCCATTTCGCCGTCACGTCTGCAGCATCTTTGTTACAGTTTGTGCACCGTCTGTCACAAACGTGAGGGTGAGTTCTGCACTCCAAAAAAGATGGAAACGTTCGTATCAGCGTAGGTCTGGAGAAACTTGATTTTCGGCTAGTTAATGAAGACGCAAATGTGCCTTGTGACTGACGTATGTGGTGATTGGGACACTTCGGTTCGAGTCAACTCACGGAGAATAACATGGGTAGGACACGTAGCTCGCATGAGGGATATCAAAACGATTGCAGTATTTTCGCTGGTTAATCTGTAAGGAAGCGGCAGATTGGGAGTCCAGAGATGATATTATTAAAATGGATCAAAGAATAGTGTATTAGGTTGTGCACTGTATTCAGCTGGCTCAGGATAGAATCCAGTGGAGGGATGTTGTGAAGACGGCGATGAACGGCCTGTAAAATGCGGGGAAATTGTAACTTGACTGAGCGACTGTCAGCTTCTTAAAAAGGACTCTGGCTCCGTGGAGTTACGGTTCATTAATTCCTCATTTAGAAAGTTTTCTTTTCGTGCGTGTTTGTCACTACTTTACCGTTTGAGGGCGTCGTAGTTTCGAAAAGCGGAAACAGAAGGCACATGGCTTAATGCTCCCACTGTATGACCCTGCGGTCAAGGTTCTGGGTCCTGAGGAACGTAACTTAACCGGACGACCTTCAACCGTCGGCTAGATGCGCGTTCTTCCACCTGTCTTGTCGTCACTTCCGCCGACAGAGAGACAAGCAAAGATGTCACGCAAGGAAGTAGAACAGGTGCGCTCCAGTGATTTAATTTTGGAAGGTTTCCTGACCTCACATCCTTCATGGGCCACTTTTACAAGCAGAGGTGTGATTTATGACGGACTCCGCTTAGCGTAATAAATAGTTGAGTTGAGCAGCTGAAGGATAAAATTATCGCTTTTGTGGAACCTGAAAGTTCATTACAGTGTCCGCAGGATGTACTATCTCCTGGACCAGTTCCACCAAGTACACATCCCAACACTCCATCAATTTTTAATATTATCCTCCCGTCTGCACCAAGTGATTCCGACTGACCCTGGGAAGTGTCCTGCGTCACGCAGCTCATGACGTCCTGTTACCTGCATTGCCAATGACGCGAACTGAGAGATACACGCAAGATGGGACCAAGTGGGGCTCCAGAATGGAGGAAGGTCCTCGTTCTTTCTTTTCCCTCCTTTCTCGCTCTTGCTGCCTTGCCACTTTCTTCCGTGTCCTCTTCTATTTTCCTTCCTTCTTTCCTTGTTCCTCTACTTCGCCCTACGTTCTTAATCGTTGCATCTTGTTTGCCATCTCCTTTTTGTCTTGTATCTACTCTCGTATTTCTAACTTGCCTTCTCTCATTCTTCACCTGCGTTCACTAATTCCTTTCCTTCTTCGTTCCTCCTCTGTTCCGCTGCACTGTCCTTTGACACTGCTTCAAGGCTGTCGTTGCTTGTACTCGTTCCGGTATAAAAGTGCAGGGTGCAGTATGGAGCCACGCCCAAAGACCTTGTGGCATGTCGAGCAACAGTGGCCTTAGGAACGTCCTTCAAGTAAGCCATCTACTGAACACATTACAAATAATTTTACAAAAATTTCTCGTAAACAGCCTGCCACAGAAACCAACACTCAGTAAAGACGAACGAGAAACTTGGGAGTTAAAACTCCCTAGATTCTATACTTCGGCAATGGATGGAGGCGAGTGATTAGGTCCACGCTTCGGCCGCTCTTTGCCCTTGGACAGAGAGAGACCAGTTCCCACTGGATGGGAGACTGGACGGGTCCTTGACCTGTTCTGAATAAGGTGGCGAAAAGAAAAACTTTTGCCGTTCGCAGGAATCGAAACCCGTCCGTCGTGCATGCAGCCAGTACTTTGAGTTATCCTGGTTTGTAGTTTGTACGTAAATGAATAACGCATTATGCCAATTACAGCGAAATAACTTGAGGACATCTCATCTCCTGTACTTCGAAAAATTTTACGAACGTTGGGGTTTTTAATGAGGCGTAATGTCGGTTCTCTGACAAGTGTTTTGGAGACATCTCCTTCTACTTACTGTCGGTGTAAAGAAAAAATGTACAGTTTTTTTTTCCCCATCCGAACAAAAGAGATACAGTTCAGTTTTATGTAATTTTCTTAGAACCGATTTTCCGGAAGTGATGGAACGACGGTGGCCTTGGACAGGCGACCACTTACTGCGTATATAGCAGGGGTTCTAATGAGAAGTGATAAAGTTTCTATTACCGGTTCATGTAGCCAACTGCATTTACTTAGGCGTTGCCCTGAGGCTTAAGCGTAGAAATATAATTTAGTGAGGACAAACGCTTGGCATTTTGTTGTTTTATTTCTTTGCTGAGGTACACACACAACGTAGTTGCCTCTACAGCCCCGTGAATGCAATTTATACGGTTTCAATACATGCAGAAGCTTTCAGATGTTTCGTGCTACAATGACACATGTCATTTTAATAGCGTGTTCGAGGTATCGCACAGTATCGAAGCTCTAGAAGTTATACCGACGTTGCGGAGGCACTATTTGTTGTATTATTCAAGGTCATGGTGACCAGAAAAATATCTTGGGGATTTTCTATAGATATAATCGTAACAAATTATCACGAACTGTGATTGGTCGAAAACGGTGTAAATTTAACTGCCACGCGTGGTTGTCTGGAATTGTTACACGTCTAGTGAGACTTGTGTTTCTGCCAGTGATAAGCCTATGTGTGTTATCAAATGACGAAGTTTCGAGGCAGTGGTCACGGCCAATGTTGCTGTTAACCGAAATTGTTATCTTTCTTTAGGGCAGGCTTGAAGGCCGGTCCTCTCGATTGTACCACAAACAATTCTTCTGCAGGGCAGGATTCTCCAAGAACGAAACTGTCGTGTTGTAACCGAACTGACTCCGTTCCTCAACTTCCTGCAAGTCTTTCTGTTTTGATTTTATCACAGATTTTTCATTCTCCTTGAGATTGTTATATTTCGACCAGCACATCGCGTCTTTTAAGTAATAATGTTACAAAACACAATGCAGACTGTAATAAACACACTTCAACATGTCTGCCGTCCGCATTAAGTTAATATTAAAAATGAGCTGACCTCTGCGTGACCTTTCGATAACAATGGCCGGTGCCATCTGCAGACTTTTCTTTTTTACGTTAATTGCTGCAAGAACACCTGAAATATTGTACTCGGCCCGCTAGGAGTATGACCTCAGAGGTCACACCGGATGTGAGGTCACAATGTTGCAGATTGAAGCTCGTAATCTTTTGTTTCCTGGACCGGAAGACAGAAGTGGTGGGTGTGGCGAGAGGCCGGGGAAGGGGGAGGGGGGGTTGTAAGGAAGCTCTACGACTGGGTAATGATGATATATTTGCATGAAGTAAATGAAACACACTCAGAGAATTTCATCCAGCCTCGCATCATTATTTGCTTTTCTGCTGTGAGTACTGTGATGTGGACACACGTGATGTCACAAGTCACCTCTGCAGAGGACGGGTGACCGAAGTCACGCAACGTACACCCCCCCCCCCCGGGTTTACACAACAAATTACTGGCACAGGAAAGAATCTATTGAAAGAGAGCAGATGACAAGTCGCTTTCAGTGAAGACGAAGTTTGCAGATTGATGGACGAGCTCAGGGCGGAACTCAGTTCTCCTTGTCTTGTAATGTCGATGTCATAGACAGGTAATGTGTGACCTAATTTTGTTCATGGTGGGTGCCGTGCACAGGGAGTCGTAGGATCGAATCTCACGTCAGACACGAGATAACCTTAAAGTTTGCAGTTCACGGAATTTATCATTATTAGGAGAAACAGCCAGTGCTTGTCTTTTCTTTATTTCCAGTTAGAAGTTGCAAATTATAAAGAGGGTAGGTGCTTTTTATACACACTGTCGGATCCGGTTCGACTACGTGACTAGGCTTTCTAGACGTCAGCTGGTAAGACAGTAGTGACCTCTAATGAACAAACGAGATACTCGGTTATTACAGATTTTTCTTATTCCTCTATTTCCTTTCCTTCTTTCCGTTTCTTCATGTTTTCTTAGTTTCTTTCATCATCTTCGCATCAGGCTTCAGCCTTCCATCGCTTATGCTGTCTACCTGTTTGCTAATTTCGTCCTCAGTTGTTCTTTCTCCATCTTTCCTACTTCCGCCTCCTTCCATTTTGATTTCTCTGTTTCGCTCGTGCGTTTCCTCCTTTCTTCAAGCACCTTTACCAACGCGTAATAATTTCCACAAGTGCGTGTGTTGCGTCATGACGCATGTTCAGGGGCGGAGGTGGCTCTACATGGCGTCAGGATCGCTCCGCTGGCTGCATTTGACTGATGCACCAATTACAATAATCAGCAAAGTGCATCCTTATCGCTTATGTCTGCAGGTTTGAACGTCACGACGCAGCGGCGCCATGTTCCTCGCCAACGAAATGAACACGAAATAGATTATGCCTATTAGTGACCACACTAATTAGAAATAACAGATTTTTTTTTCGTAAGGGTTAACAGTTCAGCTGGGTTCGAGATTACAGTTCTGGAATAATCCGACGAAGTCTCCAGAGCAGCGTCGAACATCTCGGCCAACTACATAGCCTGTACATTTTCAAATTGAATTATCCCGTTACAGTGACGGTATTTTTTTTATTCACAGAAACAATTCAACACATTTCGCATACGGTATTCATGAACAGTCACTTGATACAGCTTTTTCCTGTCATTTAAACCTATTGGTAATGGAATATATTAATAGTAACAACACACTTTAAAAGCTACAAACTACAATAGAACCTATTTCAATCAGTAAGGCCAGACTGGATTAGATGACGTGAGGTTGATTGGGTTAAGCTGGCTCATTTTGTGTTACTTTGCGTTAAGTTAGTTCGGGGTACGCTGTGTCAGGTTTGGTCAATTTAGTTCGGGCTTTATAAGGTTATGTTAGTTTAGGTTAGGTTAGGTTAGATTAGGTTGGGTTAGGTTGGGTTAGGTTGGGTTAGGTTAGGTTAGGTTAGGTTGGGTTAGGTTAGGTTAGGTTGGGTTAGGTCGGGTTGGGTTGGGTTAGTTTAGTTTAGGTTGGATTAGGTTAGGTTGGGTTTGTTTGAGAGCAAAGTGATAACAGATGACAACATCGTGACGCTCGGCGTCGAACTGCCAGCGTCGAGTCTTATGGCGTCACGAGACTCGGTGGCGTCCGAAATCCCAAATACTCTCTTTTAAGCTACAGTTGATTTATTTATGTTTATTTAACAACACTTTTTCAGTGCCTCAGACGACAGATTATATGTGCAACTGCGCGGTGCCTCACGTAATAAATATATTTTTGCAAATCTAGAACAATGCGAGCAGAATCTTATCTCATCTTATTAAACCTGGCGCTATAGCCCGAGATTGACGAGAAAGTCTGCTAATATATGTGAATGAGTAGCCGATTCTTTGTTAATACAACGTCTGCAAACCCATCGTAGGACAGGATTTATCAGAACGGGGTTTGAGCGGTTAATCCTCCATATTCAGCCACTGTTCAGACAGTCACGGTAACTATGCACGGTGGTAGTATTTATCACATTTTCTGTTTGAAGTATGGTAGCCATGGAACATGCTTCACGCTGGATCTGTGGTCCGTCGCCGTCAATTATACTTGTCTAAATGAAATATCAGCATCACTTGAATTATCGTGGGCGTAGTAACAGCTCGTCTATAAACATACGGAATTGACTTCACCTCCCTCATGGTGGGAAATTCAAATTGAAATCTGCCGCCTTTGATATAGTTAATGAAAAGAGGGCAATGTTTCGTTATCGCGCGTATTTTGCGTAATGATTAGATCCCCAATGCGTTTCTGGACTTCTGTTCTTTATAGCCTATGCTGAATTTAAACAAAGAAAGGCTTTTGTTTCCATGGAAATGTATGATTTTCATTCCTATAAAGCCAAGTGATTAGTTCACTTTAACGTTCAAAGAACACCGGACACCGACGTTTCTCTTACAGTGCGTTCACTGATAAAGTTGAACGTAACTGTCACTTCTCGGCTCCCGGCAGGAAAGGATGGAGCCGTAACTGATTCATGTCGGGAAATTCTTGTAGCGCTTGGCCGAGAGCTATGCAGTTCTAACCAAGAGCCGGGATGTGACAGTTGCGTTCGCATTTATCAGAATGTTTTTAAGAAGGAAATAAATCCAGACAATAGAAACCAATGGTTTTTCGTCACATAACTCGTGCATAGCATGGGAAGGTTTAAAGTCACAACGAAGTAAAACTTAAGCCTGCGTTGAGAAGTTGTGGAGTATGTGTTGAGAAATATATGCAGAAAAATATAGGTCGAAGTCTTCTGGGTTGTTTATCAGTAACGTATTTTGACTGCATTAACATATGCCCACATTAGCACAGCGTAACAACCCAGGAGACCATCATCTGTTGAGAAACAATGTAATAAAAAATGATAAATATTAATCCACCAGAAAAATACTTAGAGCAACAGATTGCGAAAACTTGATGCTGAGTAAAAATACAGGGATACGAACATACGATAAGTGGGGATGTAATTTAATGTGAGCTGATGGATCATCGCTAAATAAACCAGCAGCTACGGGAATTACAGTTACTGGTTCGCGATCCACTAGCAGAGAAACACCTCCTATCTTGTTTATACCCTGGATTAGACAGCCATTTAATTAGTCCTGTACATAACTATAATATTCTCTGTAATCGGCTAATGGCTGGAACATTTGGGGTTGCCATAAGCAAACGGCCACTTGCTGTGGGCGAAATGCAAATGCAACGGGGGACGGGGGGACTTACTGCTTCCGCGGGCATGCGTCACGTGACATGCTGATGCATTCACGGGCACAGTTGAACCCATTCTTCTTTGAGGCAGAGTTCAGTCGTATGAATCAAATCCACAACCTGCATCCGTATTTCCCCAAGATCCATTTTAATATTATGTTTCGTCCAGGTCCTCCGAGTTGTTTCGACCTTCCGTTCAGGCCTTGCAATGAAAACTCTGTAAGCGCTTTTCATCTTCTCCATTCGTGCTACATGCCTCGCACATCTAATTCTCCATTATTTGATTATCGAAACAAAATTAGCTGGATAGTACAAATTCTGTCGTTTATCTTTACGCGAATTTCTTCAGTCACTCCATTTTTCTTGAGTCCAAGCATTCTATTCAGAACCTTGTTCTCAGGAACCCTGAATCTGTGTTGCTACCTTGATGCGAGAGGCCAATTATCGCGCCAGTACAAAACGTCAGACATTTTTATTACACAATCTTCGTTGAGTCATAATATTCTGAACTGCGTGGTGGGAATCATTCCCCGGATTTAGTCTGTTCTTAATTCCCTCGTGAATGCAATTCTGATTCATTACCAGTCATTTGAACTCTGTCACATTTTAAAAGCTCACTTTTATATAAAAAGATTGTCCTTCAGTCTGGTGACGAGACATGGACATGCAATTTTTATAGACTTTCTTACTCGCATCTAATACAGCTTATGTGCCTTTGTATATGAATTTTATTCTCGCAGTATAGATCATAAACGCGTGTATCACATTCATTTCCAGATCCCCTTTGTTTTCTGGGACTTTCTTAAAGCAGAGTTGAAAAATTATGGTGAATCAGTACCTCGTCACACGATTATAAACACTGTGGAAAATGGAAAATTTTTACTTGTAACAAGTTTCTGTATCGTCTCTTGGGTCAGGATTAACCAACCCATGCGCCTTCTAATGCTCAGTAGTAATTACACAACAGACATCGATTTTCTAACCGGATGATCGCTCTGTTATTAGCAGTCTTGTCATGTCTGCGGTCAATACGTCTGTGTGTCACAGAATGACAGGCGCCTTAATTAGTGGGGGTCAGTAGTGCCTCGTAGATGGGACGCAGTTCCCGCCCGAGTTAGCAATCAATTGTTTCAATCAAAACGGTTATTATACTTGAAAAAATAGTTCATAGCGCACAGCCCACAAGTTCGTCCACTCGCAGGTTTACTTGTGAACTTCAATATACATGGGGAGAGGCACGTCTTTTGGGGTGCAATGGTTTCTTTCGCCCCGACAGTTCAAGTTGAGGAAGTGCACAGTTTAAAGCCGAATATCAGAACCAGCCCGTACCGAAAAGAAAACACATCACTTCACCTTTCCAACGATCAACTGGTTAATGCTGTTTAAGGGGATAGTCGCCGTGTATTCTCAGAAACGTCAGTTAATCCAAGGCGAACAACATCCATGAACCGTAAAATGAGGGAAGGAAGATAAAAAAGAGCTAACGAAGAAAACGGGGGAAGACTAGGCACGAATAATATAGAAGGGGACTGAAAATAAATCGAAATGCAAATTATAGAAATTCAGCTAATTAGGATATGGAATGTTCTGTCACTGGGGCAACGATAATTTTAACTAAAGGACTAAGAAAATCTCTGAACAGTACCAGGAAAACATTAAATAGAGTTAAAGAAAGTACTAGAAACATGCCACTTTAAAAGGAAAGTGGTACAATGCGCCTGTGCGCTGGGGTTCAAGATCAAAAGCAGTAGGAGAAGAAAAATAACTGTGATTAGAGAAGAAATAAAAATGCAATGTTCCGCATTCTTCGGTCAGAACGCACAGTCCCTTCATTCCAGTTTACCAAAAAATGTGACCACAAGAATAAAATGTTTTTAAAGTTTGAATATTAAATCGACATTATGAGGAAAGTAGCCATCCTCTTATGTACTGATGCATATTCCTTTGAGTGAAGCAGAATGAACAATAAGCCCACATCAGCGGTCCCCAACCTTTTTGTGCCTACGGGCACATTTGAGAGTTTATGAGATCGTGGCGGGCACCAACCAATTAACAAAGCCAAATTTTCTTTTCTCTGGGAAAATAAGATATGGACACCAAATAATACACAAGACAACACGACGTTTAATGATACAAGAAACCATGAAATCAGAAATACGTAGTTTTATAAGTACAATTATTATTACTCAAGTGGGAAGTTAGTGTGATGTTTGGCACTGCATTTCATCGGCCAGTTTTTAAATTTGGGAGTGTAGGATGATGTTGCTGCTCACAAACAATCGTCAAGTCGAGATCTGCGCTTTGATTTTATAATGTTCGTGGCTGAACGGCCTTCAGTATTCAGTATAATCCTTTTCAGTAACAACGCGGGCACCCAAAAAAAGCCTTGACGGACACCGCGTTGGGGATCACTGTTGTACATTATTTCGCCCTCAAATCTTCATAACCGTACTTATCAGAGTGATTATTCTCTTGTCACATTGGTGTCACTGTTAGGCCAAGGTCATACAAAGTCAAGATAAGATCGCCCCAATAGTTTGAAAAGATAGAGGTCTTTATAATTCTCAAGGTCATATGTTTAACGCTTATTTCTGCCAAACCGTAATACCTGATTGACCATACTCATGTCAAAATGAGGTTCCGTATAAGTCAAGGTTGCATGGAAGCCACGACAAAATCGGCCCAATAGTTTCCTAGATACGGGTCTTAAAATATTTTCAAGGTCATATCTTTTCACGATTATTTTTGCCAAACCTTAAATAAATGGTCGACCATACTCATGTCACAATGAGGTCAGGTGTAGGTAAAGTTCATATGGAAGCCACGAGAAAATGGGCCCACTTATTTCCTTTATACTGGTCTTTAAAATTCTCAAGCTCATTGCTTTTAACGCTTATTTCTGCCAAACCGTGAAAACGTGGTTGGCCATACTCATGTTAAAATGAGGTCACGTGCAGGTCAAGTTCATATGGATAGCTCGACAAAATCAGCCGACTAGTTGCTCAGATAGAGGTCTTTAATATTCCCATGGTCATACATTCTCACGCTTATTTCTGCCATACCGTAAATATCTTGTTGACCATACTCATGTCAAAATGAGATCACGTATAGGGAAACGTCTTATGGAAGTCACGAAAATATCGGTCCACTAGCTTCCCAGATAGAGGTTTTTAAAATTCTTAAGGTCATATCTTCTCACGCTTATTTCTGCCAAACCTTAAATACCTGGTTGACCATTCTTATGTCGAAATGAGGTCACGGATGGGTCATGGTCATATGGAAGGCACCACAAAATCGACCATTTAGTTCCCTAGATACGTGTCTTTAAAATTCTCAAGGTCATATTTTTAATGTTTATTTCCGCCAACCGTAAATATCTGGTTGACCATACTCTTCTTAAAATGAGGTCACGGATATTCCAAGGTCATGTGAAGACCACAACAAGATAAAGCAAAATATTTGAAAATATTGGAATCAAACTTTTCAAAATCATTCGAAATAAAATTTGGTCACACATATACAAAGAGAATGTATGAATCTGAGTGACATTGCACACATCATTTAGAGGTCATTTGACGGCAATCTTATATACTGAGTGCCTAATTTGTGTGGGGATAGATTACGTTAATTTCGGTTCGTTTAGGTTAGGTTGGGTTAGGTTAGGACGAAATTATATTTTGTAGATGTCCGTCTTCATACTCACCGCTGTGAGAAGCTCAAGTCTTACTTATATTTTGTACATTATTTTGTCCTCATATCTTCATAACTGTACTTATCAGAGTGTTTTTTCTCTTGTCACATTGATGTCACTGTTAGGCCAAGGTCATACAAAGTCAAGATAAGATCGCCTCAATAGTTTGAAAAGATAGAGGTCTTTATAATTCTCAAGGTCATATGTTTAACGCTTATTTCTGCCAAACCGTAATACCTGATTGACCATACTCATGTCAAAATGAGGTTCCGTATAAGTCAAGGTTGCATGGAAGCCACGACAAAATCGGCCCAATAGTTTCCTAGATACGGGTCTTAAAATATTTTCAAGGTCATATCTTTTCACGATTATTTTTGCCAAACCTTAAATAAATGGTCGACCATACTCATGTCACAATGAGGTCAGGTGTAGGTAAAGTTCATATGGAAGTCACGAGAAAATGGGCCCACTTATTTCCTTTATACTGGTCTTTAAAATTCTCAAGCTCATTGCTTTTAACGCTTATTTCTGCCAAACCGTGAAAACGTGGTTGACCATACTCATGTTAAAATGAGGTCACGTACAGGTCAAGTTCATATGGATAGCTCGACAAAATCAGCCGACTAGTTGCTCAGATAGAGGTCTTTAATATTCCCATGGTCATACATTCTCACGCTTATTTCTGCCATACCGTAAATATCTTGTTGACCATACTCATGTCAAAATGAGATCACGTATAGGGAAACGTCTTATGGAAGTCACGAAAATATCGGTCCACTAGCTTCCCAGATAGAGGTTTTTAAAATTCTTAAGGTCATATCTTCTCACGCTTATTTCTGCCAAACCTTAAATACCTGGTTGACCATTCTTATGTCGAAATGAGGTCACGGATGGGTCATGGTCATATGGAAGGCACCACAAAATCGACCATCTAGTTTCCTAGATACGTGTCTCTAATATTCTCAAGGTCGTATCTTTTAATGTTTATTTCCGCCAAACCGTATATACCTGGTTGACCATACTCATGTTAAAATGAGGTCACGGATAGTCCAAGGTCATTTGAAGACCACAACAAGATCAAGCAAACTCAAACTTTTCAAGGTCATTCGAAATAAAATTTTGTCACGCATGTACAAAGAGAACTATAGGAATCTGAGTGACATTGCACACATCATTTAGAGGTCATTTGACGGCAATCTTATATACTGAGTGCCTAATTTGTGTGGGGATAGATTACGTTAATTTCGGTTCGTTTAGGTTAGGTTGGGTTAGGTTAGGTTAGCTTAGCTTAGCTTACGTTGGGTTAGGTTGGTTTAGGTTAGGTTGGGTTAGGTTGTAATTGTATTGTAGCTCAGAAATGAGAAACTTTATTATAAAATAATTATTCTTATGTTTTGCAAATTTGATGTTAAAATGAAGTTAATTAAGCATATTATAGTTATGATACATTTTCCACACAGGTTGATGGCAAATTGTTATGTTGGCTGTGCACATTGTCGTACAAACGGGCTCTTGCTAAGACAAAGCAGAGTGACGCAGAGCGACGAGCGCACATCAAATTAGCAGCCCAGAGAGCTGCCAAGAACAAAGAACATGGGAAGTAAGTTATAAATTTACCATTATCACTATCTTTAATGCTGTGCGTTCTTGACAGAGGACTTTTCTTTGTGGATTTAATATAATTTGGATCTGGCAGATTGGACAAACTTTCCAAAGCTGCTGACATTGGCCTCTTTGGCAGAGGTGAAGGATTCCTCCGAACTTGCTCACAGCTGGTACCTCTGACTTTACTCATTGTTATGTGCGTAACGTAATAGAACTATTTGCAGATGAAACTCGTGTAAGCTGATTGAGTATTTAATTTTTTATGTGGCTACGTCATTACTTTTTAATTATTATAATTTTATCCCGCATCTTAGGATTTTTAGACTTTTTTCACTGACTGGTGTAAACACCAGAATATGAATGTTTCAGGGATGTGTTTGGTCTCTGTCTTGAGGTTAACAGGCCCCTGTTTTCAGTACATGAATACATTTAAGAAGCTTTAGCGTAGATAAATTTCACTACTACCTCCAGAAAGTGCTTACTGATGGGATTAATGTGTCAAATTTCTTTTGTATCCTTAAATTTGAAAGGAGAATCCTGAAATTATGATCACAAAACATAACATTATGTGCGGATTGTCATCTTCTGGGTTGATACATCATATAGTCTTGTAGGTGGTTACCAGCATTCTGGAAGAACGTATTTCCTTCACCTTCAGGATAGATATGTCACAGCCCTGAAGAACAAAAATACAATATAATGTGCCAGCAGCACAGCTTTGTTTGCGGTTTGACGTACAATGCGCGCGTCTGTTTTTGCAGACACAAGGGCCATAGCAAACGTCCGCACCGGGTAGATGTGACAAAATTAAGCCAACCCAGCGGTGAGAAGGACGGAGAAGGAGGCCCACCGACAAAAGTGTCCCGTGGAGGGTCTGGGGCAGGGAACAACAGAGGAGACCCACATGATCCGAACTCGTCGGATCACGTTGTTGCCATGACGCAGCTGAAGGAGCAGATTGCGTCTTTGCAGAAACAGTTGAACCAGAAAGATTCTCAGTTGTTGAGCAAGGACAAACTGGTAAGTAATGTGCTTGAGTGTTTCATTACTTTTTATGACTCGGAAGCGGGCGGTATGTTTATTCAGGGTGGAACACGATTTTGCATTTGATAAGAAACCAGAGGATGTACAGCAGTGGTCCCCAACCTTTTTGTGCCTACGGGCACATTTGAGAGTTTATGAGATCGTGGCGGGCACCAACCAATTAACAAAGCCAAATTTTCTTTTCTCTGGACAAATAAGATATGAACACCAAATAATACACAAGACAACACGACGTTTAATGATACAAGAAACCATGCAATCAAAGATACGTAGTTTTATAAGTACAATTATTATTACTCAAGTGGGAAGTTAGTGTGATGTTTGATTTTATAACGTTCATAGTTGAACGGCCTTCATTATCCAATATAACCTCTTTCCGTATCAACGCGGGCACCCAAAAAAAAGCCATGGCGCCCTGAAGCACGACTGGAAACTGAAAGATTCGACAGCTTAGTAACAGCTTTGATCCATTCTCTGGTATCTTTATCGATATCCTTTTACGTTATTAAATATTTGGAGCGTTGCTAGCTGATTTCTGATAACATCACGTGCAGCCTTTATAACCCTGAAGTTTCCAGGAAAGCACACACACACACAAACACACGTTTCTTATCAACCAAATGCTCTGATATGAAACTTCATGAGCAGTTGTGCCTTGCAGAGACTGAGCAGTATTGAAACTGGTGTCTGTCACAAAAGCTTCATATTCAGGTAAAACTATTTAATCTGCATGTGTACTTAATGTATTTATCATAAAAGATCATTTCATGTCAGAATAACAGCATAAATAACGTTATATTACAAGTAAATTATTAATTGCTGGTACGTCAACTTGTATCTCTCTTATTATTGAATACGGTGGTATTTCTCTGCAATGATTGGTACTATTCTTTCGTACTTAATTTTGTTCGGAGAAATCTGAATGGACGAAATATCACTTGCGATAATTAAGTGTAGATGGGAGGATGATATTAAAATAGGTTTTAGAGAAACGGGGTGTGACACTGTGTAATGTATGTGTCTGGCTCAGAATACAGTACAATGTCGGGCTCTTTATCAGCACTGTAATTAATCTTCTGATACCATAAGAAACGGGAATTTTCGAGGCCATCTGAAAGACTGTCGATATCTCAAAGATTGTTATTTTCCGCGAACTTCGTTGCTGTCATAAGTTACTTAAGGATGTGATAAGATAAGTGTGGAGTAGATAGTGAAATTTATATACTACTTTCCGAACACCTCCTTCTGTGACTACAGTCTACTAACATGTAAAGAGAAGAAATTTACAGCTGGAATACAGTGGCATAAGACTTTATTCCTTTTTGTTGAACGGTCTAGTCTTCCTAGTGGTCGCAGTCGAGTGGTTAGTACACTAGCTTCGTGTTTGGGAGTCTGGTTTTAATCTAGACACGGACACCCACGTTTCGTGGTTTTACTCAAGGGCTTCACTGTTCACAAAACACCTATCATTCGACGCTGAAAAGTCTGAAAATAATGACCCATATGCTACAGATAAATACAGTTCAGAAGGTACTTTTTCCGGAATCAACTTAAGCATTTCAGTACTTAAATAGGACTGGGATGATCCTACACAGTTGACATTAACATAGATCACCAGATCGTCTGCATTATATTACCGCCCCTAACTGTCCTGGCTTTGGTTCCACGTTACGTGTCGCAAAGAACGATTTCTTTCATCTGAAAATTTAAGCTCCCCTGGAAAAAGAATACATTAATTTAATTATGCTCCATCAACCTCGATATTTTAATAAATCTTAATACGTTTAGATTGTGGTCATTTGGGTTATGACTCAGTGTATTCTTTTAGGTGAAAATCAACGTTTCAGAGGAATCAACCACCTTCATCTTCAGGACCAAACCATCTTCCAGACTACACAACGTCATTACTAACAACACCAAAACCAAAATCTACACTGATATGGAGCATAAATTGGACATTCGAATATAATGAGGGACAGCTGATATTCAGTCACAAATTCAGCACGCAATTTTGAAGCCTTAAGATTGTCTTAAATTCGTCGCATGAAATAGAACTGGACATGAATCGAGCCAGTAAGATGGATAACGCGTCCAACGATTTAGATAATGACCTCATGAAGGAATTGGAGTGTCCAGTCTGTTTACAATATATGAAGTCGCCGATATCAATGTGTCAAAATGGCCACAGCATTTGTAACGGCTGCAGATCGAAACTGAACAACTGTTTTTACTGCAGGCAACCTTTCTTAAAAGTGAGAAATTTGGCGCTAGAGAATTTGTCGACAGTGTTGTTACCTCCAGGCTTAATCTCCAAGATATCCGATCCTTCACATAAGAGTTACAAGTGTCCGTTTGCTACAATATCGAATGAGGATTGTAGCTGGGTGGGATCGCTTCCGGACATGAGGGGTCATATAAAGATTATCCACACTGGTGGAGAGGACACGCAAGAATCTGGTGGACGGTTTAACGTTATTCTCACAGATTTGTCACCTGAACGGCATTATAGGAAAGCAGTGTGGATTGCCGATGAATTATTTTATATAGTTTGGGAAATAAAAGATGGCAACTTCTTTTGTGTAGTGTTATGTGTAGGTTCAAAGAATAAATCTTCCAAATTCATGTACAAATTTTCTTTAACAGCAGAAAATGAGAAGAAAAAAATATCAATGTGTTTCCAAACACGAAGTGTCGTGCAAGAAATAGAGCAGGTGCTCGCACCTGGACACTGCGTTGTTCTACATTTTGACACAGTTTTGAAGTTTTTGAACTCTGATAAATGTCTGTCTTGTGACTTTGAAATCAGTCCGATTGAAGCAGAATCAGGCGCCGATAAGAATCAGCCAAAGACTGTTACAGCTAAAACAGTCGACAGGGACTCTGACAGTGTCAGAGTTAAAAGAGAATTCCTCAGAGAACAAAAGGCGCCAATGAAACGCGAGTTCCTAGATTCGCGTGATGACATACCCCATGAAACACATAGACCAGGCAGACATGTTGGACGAGGTAAGGTAATTTGGCGTGGTCCTCGGGACAGATCTGTCGAATCACACTTTCAACATATATCACGAGACCGCGACTTCCGAAACAGAGGCGGAATTCTTGGAAAGCATTCTAACATAGGCCGGAGTCTGACAGATCTAGGCAACGAAGCGCATTATCGAGACAAAGAAACTCCTGCGGTGGTTAAAATGCGCGATTCAGTTCGTCTCAAAATAAACGCTTCATCCACTTCTCCAGCTGCAAAACGTGAAACAAGTGATAAACTTCCCAAAATTTCTCTGACATCTGCAAAAGGAATGCCAAGAACTGAAGGTGCCAAACTTTCGGAGTTGACAAAGTCAC